TAAATATATTGAGTGAAAGAAAAAGATAGACCTGGCTTTTATCCTCGCTGAGGTGGACTGGGTTGTCACCACACCGTGTCCCAAAGAACCTGTGGCACCGGTGAGGGAGACAGATGAGACTGATGCTGCATGGCAGAACAGAGAGCGGGATTTTGCTCCCGTAAAGATGTCCTATGACCTTGAGCATAGGAAATGGGTCACTGCCAACAAGAAGTGTTTGGCAGTGATAAAGAACACGATTGAGCCTGCTATTGTGGGCTCAATTCTAGACTGTGACACGGTCACAGAGTATCTAGAAAGAATAAAGAGTCGCGTTCACTTGGCTCTTCAAAGAATATGCAACCCAAATTGATCAAGCATTTGGTTTCTGAAAAAAAGGTACTCTGGTGACGGCAAAGTGGAATTAGAGAGCACATATCTTGAGAATGAGCAATCGGCATCTAAGCTCAAACCAATGGATTTGGCACTCAAGGATGAGTTTCTTATTCATTTGATTTTTGCTTCTTTGCCCAAAGAATTTGACACCTTTGTTGTTAATTACAACATATGACTGAAAAATGGGATTTAGAAAAGCTCATAGCCATGTGTGTGCAGGAGGAGGAAAGAATAAAAGTTTCACAAGGTGGTTCATCAACTACCTAAAAGATAAGAAAAGAACTATAATAACAGTTCTTCCTCCAAGTCATCTGGAAAGGGTCCCATGCAACAGCCTCTCAGAACAACCAATTTCAAAGTGGCTAAAGATCAATGTCTCCATCAGAAGAAGACAGGACATTATAAGAAGAATTGTCCCGATTTCCTAAAGATGATAATGAAAAATAAAGGTGAGAACATCATTACATTTGTAAATGAATCCTTGTATATAAAGTTTTTAAAATCTACTTGGTGGATTGATTCAGGTGCAACTATTCATGTTGCTAATTCATTACAGGGATTCCGTTCGATGAGAACTTTGCAAAGAAGCGAAAGTTTCATTAAAGTCGCAAATGGAGTACAAGCAGATGTTGAGGCCGTTGGAGATCTTCTTCTAGAGCTTCCAGATGGCTTCATACTTTTTCTTAGAGATGTTCTTTATGTACCTTCTTTGCAAAGAAACCTGATTAGTGTATCAAAGTTGGACCATGATGGTTATGATTGCCATTTTAGAAATGGCAAATGTCAGATATTGTTTAATAATAAATGTGTTGGTCTTGCCTTCCGACAAGACGAGCTTTATTTGTTATCACTTCGTGAAAATGTGAATTCCATATGTGATGTGAATGAAAATATATCCTCATCAAACAATGGAAACAGAAAACGAAAGAGAGCTCACGATGCGTTGTCGAAATTATGGCACTGTCATTTAGGCCATATTTCGAGGGGGAGAATAGAAAGACTAGTTAAGAATAATATTCTTCCTCCATTAGAGCTCTTAGATTTAGAACAATGTAGAGATTGCATAAAAGGAAAGTATGTAAAGAAAATTAAGAAAGATGCCAAACGAAGCGCAGGAATTCTATAGATTATTCACACAGACATATGTGGTCCTTTCCTGTAAAAAGTGTGGATAGTTATGATTCATTCATAACATTCACAGACGATTACTCTCGTTTTGGCTACATTTATCCAATTAAAGAAAGAACAAAAGCGTTGGATAAATTCAAAATATTTAAAGCAGAAGTTGAAAATTAGCATGATTTAAAGATTAAGATAGTCAGGTCTGACCGTGGGGGAGAGTACTACGGTCGGCATACCCCATATAGACAAGTTCATGGGCCTTTTGCAAGGTTCTTACAGGAGAATGGTATAGTCGCCCAGTATTCAACATCGGGCGAACCTCAGCAAAATGGAGTAGCTGAAAGGCGTAACCGTACCCTGATGGATATGGTGCGTAGTATGATAAGTTACTCCACTTTACCGATGAGTCTGTGGATGGAGGCGTTAAAAACCGCCATTCATATTCTCAATAGAGTACCAAGTAAGTCGGTGCCCAAAACACCGTATGAGTTGTGGACAGGAAGAGTACCCTCACTTAACCACTTGCGTGTGTGGGGGAGCCCTGCTGAGGCTAAAGTTTTTAACCCAAATATTGGGAAGCTAGATCCCAAAACAGTGAGTTGTCATTTCATTGGCTACCCAGAAAAGTCAAAAGGTTTTCGTTTCTACTGTCCTAACAGACATACAAAGTTTGTGGAAACGAGACACGCTGTCTTCCTAGAGGATGAAATGATTAGGGGGAGCATGGTAGCTCGAGAAATTGACCTTGAAGAGAAGCGGGTGTATGCACCCACTCCAATAATTCATGAGCCATTTTTCTCACTACCTGCTGTTGCTGCACCGACAGTACAAGACACTATGGTGCCAGCACCTATTGTTATCCCGTCTGTGACAACAATGAATGATGATGAGGACCCTGTGCCTCAGGATCCTATAGAATCTATTGCCACACATGAGGGAGAGCAACAACAGCCTCAAACAGAAAATGTGCCAATTGAGGAGGTCTCTAGAAGGTCTCAAAGAATTAGAAAATCAGCTATTCCTGCTGATTATGAGGTGTACAACACTGAAGAATTTCAAATGGAGGATGATCCCACCTCATTTGAAGAAGCCATGAAAAGTGATCATTCATCAAAGTGGCTTGAGGCTATGGAAGATGAGATGAGATCAATGAATGCAAATAAAGTTTGGGATTTGGAGATAATTCCTAAAGGAGCCAAAACAGTAGGCTGTAAATGGGTCTATAAAACAAAACTTGACTCTCAAGTGAATATAGAAAGATATAAAGCCCGACTTGTGGCAAAAGGCTTTACACAAAGAGAAGGGATTGATTACAATGAGACTTTTTCTCCAGTCTCGTGTAAGGATTCCTTCAGAATCATAATGGCATTAGTGGCACATTACGATTTGGAATTACATCAGATGGATGTAAAGACGGCATTTCTCAACGGAGACTTAGAGAAAAATGTTTACATGGCACAACCAAAAGGTTTTGTCATGGAAGGAAAAGAACGTTTGGGATGCCGCCTAAAGAAATCTATTTATGGATTAAAACAAGCTTCAAGACAGTGGTACTTGAAGTTTGATCGAACAATAAAGAATTTTGGGTTTAAAGATAATGTTGAGGACAATTGTGTCTCACGTAAAGTTTAAGAATAGGAAGTTTATCTTCCTTGTCCCGTATGTGGATGATATCTTACTTGCTAGTAGTGATGTGGGTCTACTCTGGAGACAAAGAAGTTTTTGTCCTCAAAATTTGATATGAAAGATCTTGGTGAAGCTTCGTTCGTTCTAGGGATCGAGATTCACCGAGATAGAAGTAAAGGGTATTAGGACCTGTCACAAAAGGCATACATAGAAAAGTCTTAAAGAAATTCAAGATGCACAAATGTAGTCCCTCACCGCTCCTATAGTCAAGGGCGATATATATGGGGATTTTCAATGCCCCCGAGGAACCAATATGAGATCGATCAAATGAAAGTGGTTCCATATGCTTCAAATTGTCGGAAGCTTGCAATATGCTCAAGTGTGTACGCATACGACTTGGCATTTGTTACCGGGTTACTTGGCGATTCAGAGCAAACGGAATAGAACATCGAAATTGGTAAAGAAAGTCTTGCGTTATTTGCAAGGAACGAAAGGCCTCATGATGACGTATAGAAGATCGATTCACTCCATATAGTGGGATATTCAGATTTTGATTATGCGGGAGATAATAGAAAATCCACGTCTGGATATGTGTTCACTCTCGCAGGGGGAGCTATTTCATGGAAAAGCTCAAAGCAAACCGTCACTACATCGTCCACAATGTATGCCGAGTTTGTAGCGTGTTATGAGGCAACGGGCGGTGTGGCGGCTAAAGAAGTTCATACCGGTTTAAAGGTGGTTGGCGACATCAATAGACCATTGAAGTTATCTGCGATAATAATCCAAAGAAGCAGTATGCTCACAACAATAGGTCAAGTGGTCTTTGCCAAACACATTGATATAAAGTATTATGTTGTGAAGGATAAAGTCCGGGATCAAATGATAAGTCTTGAGCATATAAGTACCGAAAAGATGCTTCATGGATCCGCTTAAAAGGCTTACCACCCAACGTGTTCAGAGAACATGTAGCCGGCATGGGTTTAAGGGAAAGCCTATGATTCCTGGACTATAAAGGGCCCAAAAGTTAAAGTAACTATTTCAGATCAGAGACGTGCATTGTAGCTGTTAAATCTATCGGCGATTGACCGTGACGATGAGACATGCTCTATGCATCATCTGTGAAGAAATGAGTAAAGATAAAAGGATTGAAGTTTAAAGTTTAAAGATAAAAGTAATAGTGAGATCAAGGGGGAGAATGTTAGATTGATCTCCTAACCAATAAGCCCAACGGCCTATTGGGCCTTGGTCACGCGCCCTGATCGGGGGCGCCCAACCCTACATGGTTGGTGGGCCCCGTCGCCTCAAGGCTATATAAAGAGAGGGGGGGTCGGCGGCTCAATGCACGAGGTTTCGCCGTGAGCCGCAAACCCCACCGACAAACCCTAGACCAATCTAAGAGGCGCGCAGACCAAGAACGGGAAGCTCACGACCTTCACCGTCAAATCCATCGCCACGCCCGTCCGCTTGCTTTGCATCGACGTCCGTGCAACCTCTACTCCAGCCGTCGCTGCCCGTGTGCTGCCTCCATCAACGAACCAGCGATGGCCAGCTCAACCGCGACTTCCTCCGAAGGCTCAGGTTCAACACCAGCACCTCTACCCTATCTCCCTCTCGGTGTAGTGTTCTAGGTCTAGATGTGCATGTGCTTTACGGATCCAAGTGTTCACCGGCCTAGATCTACCCTAGTCGATCTACAGAATAATAACATCTACTTCATGACTGATTCTGGCGCAAGGGTTCTTAGTTTTGACTTGGCCACATGGAAAACATCTGTGATTCACCTACCTCCAGCTTCCAAGTGTGCTCATGGCGATGGAGGAGGATAGTGGGCTGGGATTTGGAAGAGTGGATATGGACGCCATACTCTCCCTCTGTCAATGGAGGTGAATCAGGACGGAGACATGGGATGGACCCAGACTAGAGTCATTGAGCTTGAGAAGCTGCTTCCTGTCGACGCCGACTCCATCTTTTGTAGTTTCCTTGGCTTTGCTCCTGTTGTTGGTGTCTTTTTTGTGGCGACGTATGATGATGGATTATTCAGTTTGGATCTTAAGTCTGGTCGGGTGAGGAAGGTATACGAGGAGGAATGTGATGCATTTGACTACCTCGGTCGTGTTCCCTGTGTTGTGTTGTTCCCTACACGGGCTTCTGCACTCCAGGTACAACTTTGCTTGGTTTATGATTTGCCAATAACCTACGTGAAAAACATGGATAGTATAATAATGGTATTGAACCCCAGTTGTGCTGTTACCATCATAATTGTGTTTCTTAACTCATGATAACTTTTGCAGCTTGCATTTTTCATTGATGCGTCGGAATCTGGAATTATGTATGCTGGGGTCTAAATGGTAAGCCTTGTGTGATGTAACAATTAATCGTTTGGTATTTGATTGTTCCCTTAATGCTGCCTACACACTTGTACTGAAAATTGTGAGTAAGTTAGAATTGTGTGTATTTTTGTGTTGTGCTCTCCTAATGCTGCCTACATACTTGTACTGAAAATTGTTAGTATGTTGGAATAATTTGCATGAATTCATGGCTATCACATTGTTCCTTATAATTTTAATGTTCTCTGTTACTTTTTCATGCAGGCTGTCACCGCTACTAGCACAAAGAAACCTGACCTCTTCTTCGGTGAGATCCATTCACAGAACAAGAACTTGACCGTAGATGTCAAAGGGAACTCAGAGTTAAATGTATATTTTTTTTGTTGTACATTTTCCAGACAAGGTTCAACTCATCTGATCCATTTGCTGCTGCTTGCATACTATTGAATCAATGAATGGAATGTTTTTGTTATGGCATCTGCTGCTGCAAATACCTTTATAACCAAATTTAGGCATTAATCATCTGCCACCTGCACAACACATGCACAATTGCACATTGTGCATTGTTATGCAGTAAATCAAACAAATGAATACCGTGACCATATGAGAAGGCTAATACAGAAGAAGGTGTGTAGGGTTTTGTTTGTTTTTTTCGGCTTGCTGGGTTTCTTTCTAAATCCAGCAGGTTTTGTACTCCTCTATCTTAATGAAATGACACGCAGAACTCCTGCATAGTTTGAGAAAAAATATTATAAATTCTGAGATACATGAAGTCATTATTTATGTTGTAAACTCAATTTCTTTGTTTTGATATACCTGGGAAATTTTGTGATATTCACTTGTAAAAGTTATGACTCATCAATGTAACCACCACACATCTGTATTACACTACTAGGTATTGGCCAGCGTGTTGCTATGGGCCATACATTTGTACTAAAATTGTCCGAGCCCGTGAAAATTAGTTTTTAAAAAAAATGCACTGCCAATTGCAAACTGTGTATAACTTTTGTAATACAAAACCTAATTATTATTATTTTTCTTCTGTCCCATTGCCAAAATAAAACATCGTAAACTGGCAACAATAGTCTGAAATGGGTCAAGGCAAAATAAATAGAATATATATGTACCAGTTTCTCTAGATCTCTAGTTCTCAATTGCCCATTGATGCTTGATCCAAGCACTCTCTGAAGCCTGCCAATAACAAAACTGTCAGGACACTAAGGCTGCATCAAGTGTATCTTTTCGTGCAGATAAAGAATTCCTGGGAATGCTCTATCTGTCCATTGGATCCATAATTGCTCAGTTCTTCACTATCTTCTCCTTCCCACTGTCTTTGTGCAGCAAAATTGCTATGCAGCAGTAGCACCAGTTACAATACCTGAGAAATCTAGCTAAAATAGCAATGACCTTAGAACAGAAATGAAACAGATATGGCAGGTCAACAAAAAACAATAACTTATCAGAATGGAGGCTTGCGCACAATAGTTCTGGCATATCTGCGCTAGCTGTTAATTGCTAAGCTATTTAATTTATACATACGGCTGACATTAAGACCAAGCAGAATCCCATGTAACTCTCCTTGTCCCACTCAGAAAAGACATTTCTTGGTTGTCCCAGGCTGGGTAAGTAGAGATCTGAGTGGGTTTGGATGATGCTGTAGCTTTCTTTAGCACGCAGTTATCTGCTTGTGTCTGGAGTTACAGAGTCGTTGGTCAGTTGATTTGATTCATTGCAACATGAGTTAATGGCAACAAAGTCAAACATCACATAACCAAAAGACCTACTCGATCCGATTTCATCCTTGCTTTCTATCCTTTACTGCGCGTGAGTAGAATGTTGACAGCTGCTACCATCGAGCCGCATTTTTGTTTTTTAGCCCTTTTTTTTGAAATATTTTCACAAATACGTCCATGGCGGTATCTTTAAAAAAATAGACCCTAACATCGGCACTATGACAATTGGCGCCGAGCTTACACGTCTCGGCGCGCCGAGGTCCAGGGTCATTTTTTGCATGTCGTTGACGTGGTTACCTGCGTGGCGAAGCTCGGCGCCAATTGCTACGGCGTCGCGCTATGGAAATTGCCAAATTTGAATTTTTACCATGACTTGGATATTGAGAAATGTGGCTAACTCTAGAGTTTTTACAATAACTTGCTGCATGATCACTCAAAATAGTCTAGGAATACTTAAGATAAAAAATGCTTCTAGGGTTTATGCTCACGAACTAGCCTAAAAATGCTTCTAAGTGTTTGATCAATAGTTAACTCCTTTTTCATGATGTTATTTTGACCAGGGTAAAACTATAGTTTCTTTTCTAGATATGAGGTTTGACCTTTAATAGAAGTTGTTTGAGTTGAGTACAACAACCTTTGCTTTTGGACCTAAACCTAAATCAGTCTTTAACATGAGCCGCATAGTGACCACAAGTTTGAATACAGTGTTGTTTTGGCCCCTCCAAATCTTTCTAATTCCCTTATCACGACAGTGAATTGATATGTTTGCGACATTTTATCTTCCAAATTTGTATAGCAACTCAATTTGATACTATACTATGAGTTTGAATACTCTCTGAGGAGATGGCAACAAAACAAGTCTCGTTAAGTTTGGACTTAGCCACGGTCATAAATTCTAGACTTAGCCATATTTCCACGTGCTTATAGGTCATGATGTGCTTACAGGTGAGGTGTGTTGTGTCCGTGCTTGCATGCTTGCACATGCATGTACGGTTCGTTGCATGCACCGATGCATGCACATAGTACATACTACTACTCCGGTTAACAATGCAACAAACGCATGGAGCCATGCCTTGCATCGCCCGGCCGTGCTGTAGGAGCCGAGCTTGCACTGTGCCACCTAGAACATGCTGTAGTTCCATTTGGTCAGACAATTTTTTATCTTAAGTATTTCTAGATTGTTTTAAGTGAACAAACAACAAGTCATTATAAAAACTCTAGAGTTAGCCCCATTTCTCAATATTCAAATCATGGTAAAAATTCAAATTTGTCAATTTTCATAGCTCGGCGTCGTAGCAATTGGCGCGGAGCTCGGTGCCGTAGTAATTGGTGCTGAGCTCGGCGCCGAGCTTAGGACACATCCGCACCACGCAGAAAATGACTCGGGACCTCGGCGCCAGAGCAATTGGCGCCGAGACGTATAAGCTCGGTGTCAATTGTCACGGCGCCGAAGTCAGGGTCTATTTTTTGAAAGGATACCGTCAGGGATATATTTGTAAAAATCTTTTAGAAAAAGGACTAAAAAAAATCGGACCATCGAGGACACATCATTATGGATTACATGAATGCTTTAATGGTTTACTTTGCATTACTTCAACAAACACCTCGAAGGTGACTGGCTTCAGTCTTATAGATTTCAGAAGTTAACTTGAAATTGTTGAGTTACCTAGTCAACAAAGAGGTTCAAAGATCGAAAGATAATATAGCAGAGTTAATAGAGATTTTGTAAAGCCAATTTATCATTGGTAAATCAGCAAGTCCCCAGGGAGAGGAGAGCAAGTTGGGTACCGTATGGAAGGAGGCGCCATTTTTTCCCTTGACAAACTTGGTATTCATTTTCAGATTATTGGCAATTCCAAGCTCAAGATGGAGGTTGAAGTTTCTATCGACAAAAACATAGTATGTATCGATATTCATGTGCTCCTTGCCTCCTTCCCTGTATGGCTATAGTTGCCAAACGCACCGCTAGGAGAATATCTTCTTGGGACAGTCATCATATATTTCTATTTCTATCCCTCTATCTCCTAATAAAACAAATGAAAAAACAGGAATTAGATGATTTCATCCCCAGCTGTGGGTCACAATTTCTTCTTAACATCCAGAGACGAAAATCGCATGTCGTCTTCAAAGCTGAAACGTCAATTGTCCAACGGTTCACGACTGGGATTTCTGGGCCTTGGATTGCTGACAGCATACCCTCTGATGAGAGCAGCAGCACTCACAGTTCACCGCTCCTACTCTCACCAGCTGAAAATCATGTCCAGACAGACAGTTCACCAACAAACAGCTGCTAGTACTTGCCTGTCACTGACCGAGAGCGGTTGAACAAATGCAATCAACCACCTTTTGGGTTATCTGTTGTTTCACACACCAAGCCTGGTTGGTGCACCTGCAACCCAAAACCTGCGGCTGGACACAATGTTCCACAAGCCACCATATTATACTACTTGCTTTTGGCATTCACAGCATCCAAACTGATTAAATAAATCATTAAAGATTATGAAATCAATGAACGATTCTGGGCTGTACTACAGCGCAAATGCACACAGCATAACATGAACCAGAAGCCAATACTCCGTGACAGTGCAAAAAGCAGCAGCATTAAGGCAAATGCAAAGGAGGTTCAAGGTACAACAGAGTACAAAATACACACCCGGAGCACCGGCATCAACATCACCGGCCCTTACTTAGGGCCGCATGCATCTTAACCATTACACACAGTATACAGACAGGCCCCCATCTTTTGGGGACCCATTATGCCCAGGTATACCCACTCTACTAAGACATGTAGATAGATAGCAAAACATACACACTCCAACTCTAAGTCGGTCCAAGATTGGTTTGGTTCTTGACGACGACAGACAACGCAGTACACTGACAGGCTCACAGCTTGTTTGAGGGGGCCTTCCAAGTACCAGGTCCGTCCTTCCATCCAGGATAGGGAAAACAAAACCAGTAGCACCTTGCGCTTAAATAAACAACATTGCCAACCACCATCCACAAAACATACAAGGATGATTGATATTTACTAGAAGCTCACAAGGCAACCACCTCCCCAACAGCTCAGATGCCTTCCTTCTCGCATAGGTCTAGCAGCGACAAGGTCTGCAAATTTAAATTTCATGAGAATGATTGACATGACAGCTGGACAACAACATTATGAGATGAAGCATAATGAAAATAAAATAGTCTTGGCCCAAATCTAAAAGTAAATTCCATGCCCATAAGTTCTATAATACCAGCATGTCAATTGCAAGGGTATTGACATGCTTCTTTGAAGGAGGGTTAGCTGGAAACATCATCCATTTTATGCTCAATATCAGACAAACAATGCAAATGACATATGCATGGAATTGCACAGGAGACATCGAGAAAGTCACAATTATGCTTTTAAACAAGAGAATATTGTGGTTGGTGCAGAACCCGTGCATAGCAACGCTAATAAAGTTTCATTATACAAGGGAGCTTTCATTGTATATTCATGTGCACAGCAGACTGGATATGCTATATACCTCCGCGATGGAGAGCTCAAGGCGAAACTTTGGGCCATCATAATGGTGCAAAACTGGCCTGAAGGAATCCTCTTCCAACGGCTTGCAAAGCTTCCTGATGCGGATCCTCACCTAACAAGATGAATGTGTCAGCAAAAAAAATCAAAAGGAAATGAGAAATGAACATAATGACAAATGTTATCAGTACCTGCGCTGGGAATCTAGATTCAC